GCTACTTTCAGCAGGATAATGCGCCATGTCATGAAGCTGGAATCATCTCAGACTGGTTTCTTGAACATGACAACGAGTTCACTGTACTCAAATGGCCTCCACAGTCACCAGATCTCAATCCAATAGAGCATCTTTGGGATGTGGTGGAACGGGAGATTCGCATCATGGATGTGCAGCCGACAAATCTGCGCCAACTGTGTGATGCCCTCATGTCAATATAGACCAAACTCTCTGAGGAATACTTTCAGCACCTTGTTGAATCTATGCCACAAAGAATTGAGGCAGTTCTGAAGGCAAAAGGGGGTCCAACCCGTTACTAGCATGGTGTATCTAATAAAGTGGCCGGTGAGGGTACATTATGAATGGACTAAAAACTCTCCTACTCTGTTTATATAGTTTCAATGATTTCTTTCCAACTTTATCTTATGTGCATTTTAAAGGACTTGGGGGAGGGGGGGTTAACTCAAAGCAAGAATGAGAAAACTTTGCAAAAGGCTGTCTCTGGTTTCGCCTGTTATACATAATATCATTGTCAGACTTCCGAAGATCCAGCTCAAACAACTTTCTGTCAAAAAAAGTTTTGAACTATTTTAATTCTATACATACAGTAATTTAATGTTCCATTCAAATTGCCAATTTGGAATTCAATAGCTATTGCTAACCGGTCAATATTATTTGATGCATACACCATGCAGATAGCAAGCATACAGTATTGACCCATTTGGAGATGAAGTTAGCCAGCGTGGAGGTCATATGTGGTTCTGACATCCCGCTAACCAAACATCAAAGTCACCAATTAATGGGGGAAGAAAGCATGTTGCAGGTTATGACTTCAGCTAATTAGAAAGTTGTTAAACAGAGACAGTGTCTGTGAATTCTGCGGGGGCGGTGGAGGGACAATCGATGGTCAATGAGTAGAGAAGGATGCAAGCAGGCAATTTGCCAGCTAATGTTTTCCCAATATCAGTCGAGGGAGGTAGCGACTGACAGGCGGTTTTTACATGTACCGACTAACAGGGTTGAAATACAGTCAAAGCTATAAGAACCTCACTGTGCTTAATTAACATTTGTTTGGTACACGTATCAGAACTGAAAATTGTCCAAAAGAGAATTGTTTTGTTGATTTTTTTTTACACGATAGTCAGCATCTTGCATGGCGTGGAAGTCATAGTTTGTGAGTCACCAATCACTCTCATGGTTCCATGAAATAAAATGCAAAGTATATTCAAAATACAAGCAGGAACAAATCAAAATAAAAAGCAGTGTTTACAACTGTGAAGAAGCAAGCGTGATTGTGCTTCGTCGCTATGATGTGAATGAATGTGCCATCAATTGCAGAATGCAAAGTGGTGAACCCTCTGTCTGGCTGTTCGCTTGCAAAATGCAAATCATTCCGCTTCTGGGCAAAAGACCTCCGCTGGCCAATGACGTCACGCTTCAGCAACACCAATGCCCCATTAAGTAAGAGTCTGATGTGCTCGTTTATTATTTCCATTTGTTCGATCAATTCCTCCGAACCGATAATATTCATACTTATAATGTTATTTCAACAAATAATATGGTCACAATATTTTGAAAAAGGGTCTTCAGTTGACATCAGTACTGTCGGTCAAACGTAAACGTGTGCTTGTTTGTTCCTTACCATTGTTAACAATGGCAAGGCCACCATGCTAAGCTTTTTTGTATGTTTATTTCTTTACCGTTTTTCTTTTTCTTTTTTACTCCCTTCCATAAAGTAACATGGCTCTCTGGTCTTGCTTATTATTGTATCACAGTGGCTAAGTAGTTAATATGTGCAATTTGAATGATAGATGGGGTGGGATGAAATACATTTTCTTCTTCCGACTGCCTTTCAGGCACTTTGAGTTTTGTTGCCAAAATACTCATTTGTTATTGGAAATTTCTTGTTGAAATATGATTATATGTGTCTCCACATAGTAAAGAGAAATAGAGATATACAACTAAGTCAGTTTTGAATTTTGTTTGTTTTTTTAATGAAAAAGAAAAAAAAGATGGAGTCCGGTCGGGTCTCTCTTTATCAAGACAGTTTTGCTTTTATTGCACATTCCCTATCTGTCCGTCTATCTGTCCATCTGACTACTTATATTTCATCTATCATTTTTATTTGTTAGACCAATGATCAAGTATATACTTCAATACATAAAAGAATGTTGATTTTGATGATTCATGCTTTGTACTTGAAAAGGGTCTGATGGCCAATGGCCAGCCATTTACAGACCCTTTTCAAGTAGTCAATATAAAATGAGGAGCTGGGATTAAACGTGTGACGTCTGAAAAGACATCTAAATACGTCTTTGGGAGTGAACGAGTGTTAATGTATGCATTTGTCACATGAAATTGATCTATAAATGCACTTTTTATTGTATTGGATTTGTCAAAAATCATATTTTTCTTTTCACTAAAGAAGGGTTCGGTGAATGTGCATATGAACTGGTTGGGTTCGGTACCTCGAATAGTAATAATAGTAGTCATCTAAACCTACCAACGCCTTTGTGGGCATCAAGACTGGTGTATTCAATGGTTCCATTGTGGCCTTTCTTGGGATTTTCCTTATACTCCTTTTGGACTCCATCAACACAGTACCTGCGGGCCAGCCCATAGTCGACTAAATAGAGCTACAATTTAGAAGAAAAAGACATGATACATTCATTAATACAAAAATGTCAATACTGCGATCACATGGGTGTGTGCAGCATTTTTGTTTGAAAATGAAAACGGCAAAGATCGGTCATAAACTAACCTCTTGAGGGTTTTTATGACCCAGCATGAGGTTGGAAGCTTTGATGTCTGCATGAACAAATTCATTCTCGTGCACATACTCCAGTATATCCACCTAAAGGAGAACAACAGAATGGCATGGTTGAACCGGAATTTGTCAAGACCAGTACACCAATTACACTTTCAAGTGTCTCAAACAATGGTTCTGAAAATGGGGTCCCTGGAGTCCGTGAACAGTAGCCTGGGATGTTACAAAAAAATGTGCAATAAATTATGTTGCATGTTGCTGTCTGTTGTATAGGCAGAAGTTACAGTATGATGTTAGATTTGTGCCACAATTACAGGCACCTGAGAGGAAAATTGGAGCACAATAGTGTGTTTCACTACCAGATATTTTCAATGGTATTTTTTTCCCTCTTGATAGTTGGGTTTTATTATGGCCCCAGAAGCGACTGCTGCAAGGTCTGGATTGTTTTTGTAGAATTTATAATTTTAATAAATGTATTTATATATGTTCCATAAAAAGTCATCACATTTTTGAGGAGTTAAATAAACATGTATGAAAACTCATCAAACTCGATCGGGCGTGGTGAAATATTTGATATTTTAATGTTTTCATAAACGATGAAAACAAAGCGCCACCAACAGTGGAAAATCAAAAACCAATCCGGTACATTTGACCTAGGCCTGCGAAGATTGACAAGCATGTGTAGCACCTCAAGACGTAAAAAAAAAGCCATAGTCTAAAATGAACAGGTAGCGTGCTCTGAATTTTTTGTGTCCAATTTTGGCCCATTTATAGGGGCCATAGTTTTCCACCCTTGTCCTAGAAGATTAATCTGATTGACTTCAAACTTCGGCTATACCATCTTAAGACCTGGGACAAAAACAGGGGTGTTCGTCCATGTTTGCCCTGTGATTGGCTGGCAACCAGTTCAGGTTGTACCCCACCTATTGACCGAAGACGGCTGGGATAGGCTGCAGGACGCCCGGCCGGGACCCCCATGAGAATAAGTAGCTCAGATAGTGGATGCATGGATAATAATCATCATCATCGTAATGTTTAACATATCTGAACAGACCAATATGAAATAGTTATACTGTGACAGACTTTTTATCAATCAAATCTTCAACGTGATCACTTCACAACACCACAATGTACACTCTGATCACTTTATATCAGGTACTTTTTTTCTTTTTCATGTGCTGTGGGTTATAAGATTAACCAAGGTCAGGTGATGCTTACCTGTTTGCAGACCCATGCAAGCTTTAGTTCGCAATGCCGTTACACAATTTGTGTATTGTGTGGGAAGACAAATTTTATTCGTTGATGGAACACCAACGAACATTTTCATCGGTCAGCACACAGATTGATGTACCGTGTCAACCAGGAGCAACATAGCTTTGCTGTCACAAGACAAAGCCTATTGTGTTGAATGCAGCAAACATGCTTCATCGATCTGGAAACAAAGTCATTATACCAGTCCAGGGTCTTGACAGCATCAAAGTCCTCACAAGTGTAGGCACTCGTGTTTGTAATCAACAAATTTAAGATGTGGTGATCCTTCGCTACTTCGCGGTTCACTTGTCGCGGTTTCAGTGCATCGCGGATTTTTCAAAAACATTCATCAAAAAATAAATAAAGAAATAGCGAAAATGCCGCAAAAGGTTCGCAAAACGTCCGTAAGGCAGCGAAAGTCAGTAAAACAAGGGTCTTTAGATCGTTTGAAGGATTTTGACCTGCATACTTTTATTTATGTTTAAAAAAATGAGTACATATGTTTTTCATGTGGTGATAGTCTCATTACTCACCAGTACTTGACCAACACGGAGCACAGTAGCCTTCTTAAAGCGGCCGCCGTTACGCTCGCTCATTTTTTGTAGATCAGTGCCCAGTCGCTCCATAACCATAAATCGATACCTGAACAGAAAGAACAGATTCACGAGTGAGAGCCTTTCAAGTGGTTAAGACGGAACTAAAGGTTTTCATTTTTAATTCTAGAAAACTGAGAAGATGGACGTTTCAAAACTCAAGCTTGTAAAAAGCTCCTGAACGCCACTCAAATCAACATACACATAAGACGATCCAGCACAAAACACAATCATACCTGAGGCCATTATACTCGGCTTGCCCTGATCCCCAGTATTTTGGGATCCCAAGATGGTCAAGTCTTCTACTTCTCATCCATTGTTGCACTGAAACAAAGTGACAGAAGTGATAGAGGATATGTTTTGCACACGCTTGATGACTTTAGAACATTCAGATATCAGAAATCTCAGGTGGCACAATCGAGTGAGGAAAATGAAAGGCTGATGGCAACAAAAACATTTTCCTAACCTCAGATTCCGGATTCAGTCCAAAGCCGTTTGATCAAGAATAAAAATTTGGCCTATATATATTTGCAATTGGGGTACATTAACCAACGTGCCCGCACACAAAAACACACAGAGAGCTATTGACTGAACAAAATAGTAAGTCTTGGCTTAGGTCTCGCTTCTTCTAATTTGACTAGCTCCCAACCATAATGGCAGCTGGTCAGTGGTTGGTGGCGGCTCGAGAATCATTGTGTTAGAGGGTCCTCTCAATGCCTTTCAACCAAGGCTCTCAAAAAAGCAAAAGGAGTCGGCTAACTGCCACTCGGGTGCATATTTATTTCTGCTTGTTATTAATTACTGTTAACTTACAGCTGTGAGGTACGACGATACATAATCACCGATACGATATGAAACGTCTACCATGTGATGTAGTAATCCAATCCAATACTGGGTAACTATATCAGGCTGATACCAGCCTTATGTCAAGGTATTGGGTACTCGTGACGGCTGCCAATACGACTATTGTGGCCATTTTTCGATTAGGAAGCAAATGGCATGCATGGCTGACAAGACATTTTTCTCAGTAAACTGCATCCATGTCACTCCTCTCATATGGCTATGAAGATGCAATTTCTGGAAGCATATGTATTTTTATAAGGTTTATATTAATTCTGAGAGTGCATTATTAGTGTGTTGCTACCAAAATGTGCTTATTTTCTAACTGGCTTTCTGTGATTTTCTCTTTTGAATTCTATCTGTGTGCATCTTCTAAAATGCCAATCAGGATGCTATTTCTATGTACTGTATCTGGTTGTTTATAAGGCCGCTCCGTGAGCCGTAACCTGACCATAGTGGAGGGATTTGTGTGTCCCATTGATCCAAGGGGATAAGTTGCCTGGGCCTTTATCCTCCTAGCAGGGTCACATATGGCAAACAGGTCCTCGGTGAGGGACCAGACAAAGCATGCTTCGTTTGACCCCTTACAGTATGATGACAAACATTAACGGATCACACTTTTCCTTGCTAGGACGCAGCTCACGGGGGTCCACCTCTGAAACCAGGACTGGAGGTGGGACATGTTGACGAGCCCTTGGTGGCCGAGCCTACATTCATGGGGTCCGGCCTGGCACAGTCCAAAACGGTACGGAGGGACCCCTTCCCATGGGCCAAAGGTTGGGACCTAAGCAGTACAATCCCCGGCGACAGAAACCAGCTCTAGGGACATGGAATGTCACCTCTCTGGCAGGGAAGAAGCCCGACCTAGTGTACGAGGTAGAGAGGTTCAGACTAGACATAGTCAGATAATGGATGTTTGTGGGTTAGTCAAATTTGAGATTCAGGAGGAGCAGCGTGGTTTTGGACCAATGGACCAGCTCGGTAGGTCTACACCCTCGGCAGGTGTAGACCTTGGAGAATGCTTTGACCATGCCCCTCAGGGTGTTTTTTGGGGGCTGCTTCTAGAGTACGGGGTACCGAACTCCTTGATACATGCTGTTTGGTCCTTCTATTAGCGATATCACAGCTTAGTTCATATTGCCAGCAGTAAGTGAAATTTGTTTACAGTGAGGGTTGGACTCCGCCAAGGCAGCCTGCCCACTGTCACAGATTCTGTTCATGGAGAGAATTTTTAGGCGCAGTCGAAGCATTGAGCGTGTCCCGTTTGGTGGCCTCAGTATTGCATCGCCGCTTTTTGCAGATGATGTGTTACTGTTCGCTTCTTCATGCCACAATCTCTAACTCTCACTGGAACGGTTCGCAAAAGAGTCTGAAGTGGTGGGGATTAAGAACAGCATTTCCAAATCTGAGACGAAGGTCCTCGTCGAATAAGGGTGTTATATATATATATTATATATATTGCCTTCATACCATTTTCAAGATGTGAGGTCAAGGTAGTAGAGATTGTTACTTACAGTTGTAAATGTGGACATGAGATTTTTTTGTTGCTCAAACGCAGGCATGGCTCTATCATACTGTAGTGGGACACAGAAACTGTGACCCTGAGAAGAAAAGGTTTGGACGTCCCTGGTTTAAATGAAGGCGCTAACAAGTATTCTGTTGATGAAATCGTCTGAACTTCAGTATAAATTTTAATTCCATAAACTTTTCAACTTTTTATGTACTTCACGATGAATTTCTCACTGGGTTATTTTTAGCCAGTTTTAGTATCAAACCTCTTAACATAGAATATAACACTTATAATCAATCAATCAAATAAATGTACACTTTCATGAGAGACCATTATTTTGAAACCCTCGTGGAAATATATTTACACATGCGTGTTTGACGCTGTAGGTATTCAAAGCATATTTTTGAGCTCCCACTAACGGGCGAACTTGGTGTAATTGTGTAGATATCAAACGCTGTTGCCATCCTGAAAATGTGGTTGTACTCACTGCTTTCTGGTTTGGCTGCCCTTATGTAGAAGCAGAGCTCGGAGAACAGGGGGCCATTCTCAAGGTACTCCTGTACAATTAATTCATCAATTCAAAAGAAATTCAGTTAGATCTAATTCCATACAATACTAACAAACAATACATGTGCGTCTTCACAAACTATAAACATACGCACCACTTTTACCACAAAGTCGGTATCCGTTGAGACGGAGCTGCCCAGGTCTTGGGATGCTTTAAGATTGTATGAGGCAGACGGGGAAGAGGACATGTCCAGGGATAAGTCATATGATATTCAAAAACAAACCCAAATCAAGATATGTACAGTGATCAGTCCTCTGGAATGAAAATCAGTTTGATAGCAGTTTCTGACTGAAAAGCATTCGCTTTTTGAGGAAGGATGATGGAATATGCCAGTTTTTAACCTGCCCCCTGTACAGTATAGGTAAGCAGCTTAAATTGTTATACAGTATACTGTCTTTGGGATTGTTGTCATTTTTGTATGTCTTTTTCCCATAAATTCAAGTGACTTCTCACATCATGGGGGATCTTGTCACTACGCGAGAGTAGCGTATCAAAACAACATGGCGGAAACACTGAAATCCAACAAGCTTGAAGGCAGAAGCTTGGTGGTTTTAAAAAAACATGACGACAGCAGTTAACTGAAACTTGGTGAGACAGTCACATGAACGTGAATGTTATTAAGTTTGCTGTGTCTTTTTGGAACTTATTTACACAGTGGTTGGAAGTTATTAGTAAATGATTTTGATTGTTGTGATCAGATCATCTTCAATAAAACACCCATGATTAATTGATGCAAATGCATTGGGTTCAATTGTTTATGTAAAAGATTGTTACTCGTGCACCAAGTTCGAGCAGGGGGTTTCCATTACAGTATTTGCAGCATTGCTTCTTCTGAGAATGTCTTCCATATGAAATTAAAATTGATATTGCATGAAATACTTAAGTCAAGTACAACTTTATTGTACTTGATTATATATACTTACTGTATACTGATATATACGGTACTTTATTAAACTTTGATCCTCTCCACTTTCATCTATAACGATTCAAACAACAAAGTGTATGCAGGAAAAGTGATTAAGATTGCACGACTGTCTGCGTCTTATGTGTTGTGTAGTGTTATTTTGTTATTTTGACTTCAAGATGGCGCCGCGAGAGTGGCTGCCTTTCCAACAGCTCCTATCTTTTGTTCTTCTACTTCTTCCTTTCATAACTTTGCTGCTGTGAATTGGGAATTTCTCCATTGCGAGACTAATAAAAGATTTTTTATCTTATCTTATCGTCAAATGTGCACATACAGCACAGATGAAATTTCTTGCCTCTCAAGAAAACATGCAACAAGAGGAGCCGCTGCGGGTGCCCGCGCCGCCATCAAAAGAAAAGTTAACATAAAATGACAAAATAATACAAGACAACACATAAGACACAGACAATCTTGCAATCTGAACCACTTTCCTCCATACACTCTGTTGTTTGAAGCAGTTATAGATGAAAGATGAGAGAATCAAAGTGTCCTGAATTGTAACTGAATTGAAAATCAATCAAAGTGAATTGTGAATCAAATCAGGCCCTTTTGGATCGCATCGATTTTGGAAATTGGAATCGATACCCAGCCCTAGTAACTCCGGCCCTAGTAATTCCCAACTGTTCACCGAAATTGAATGCTAATACTCAACTCAACCCTATTTGTAGAGCACTTTGAAACAACCACCGCTGTATACAAAGTTGTGTACGTAGAGCAAAAATAATGTATACAATAACAAACACTAAAACAATAAATGAATAACAAAGTCAGTAGAAAGCACAAAAACAGTAAAACTAAATATCAAGTCTTATGCTGAGTCAAAAGCCAAAGAATAAAAATTTGTTTTAAGAAGAGTTTTAAAGATGGGCAGAGATGGGGCTTGCCCAACGTTCAGTAGGTCATTCCAAAGAGAGGCACCAGCAACGGAAAAGGCTCGATCCCCTCTGAGCCTCAGCTTAGTTCTTGGTACCTCTAATAGTGTCTGGTCCGCAGACCTGAGGCACTGGGCAGGTGGAGGAGCTCACACACGGAAGGTAGGGTGAGGCTACTTAAACATTTGAAAACAAATAACTGGATCTTAAAATGAACTCTAAAATGTATAGTGTGTGTTAGTGTGTACTTGTCATGCAATGTTCTGATTACCGTGGTAGATCAGTCCAAAGCCACCTTGACCTAGGATTTTCCCCAGCCTCCATTTCTTCTTCCCCTGGTCAGTCAATATGAAGCCGTCCGGGAGGGGTTTGGGGAGTGCCCTCTTTTTCGGAGCGGTCATTGAAACTTAACACATGACAAAAATGATGTGTCACAACAATAATTTGTTTAACAGAAAATTTAGCAAATAATACAAAACCAATTATAGATTGATCTGCAATGCACAGACTGACCAAAACAATACTTAGGGTGAAGAAAACAGACTGGTGATTAAAATTCAATTATTTGCGATTATTCTCATGGCATCGAATCAATCACAAGAGGACTGCTGTTTATCTTATAAGATGTTCATCGGAGGATTTGTGAGAACACACAAATTTTAATAAGATAAATAGAAAAAAATACTGTTATCAGCTCGATTTGTGAAATAAAAATTAAATATGCTGATTGTGAAATAAAATGGTGAGTGTTATCATTTCACCTTGAATTTGTATTACAAGGCTTCTTATACAGTACTTCCATCAAGTGGTTATTGTAAAGTTGTTGTTGTAAGGGATTTGAGCAAGCCCTTTTCACTTCTATTGTTACATTTTAAAACCAATACATGAATTTAACAATCACATATTAACTCAGATAACTGTGTGTTGGATCATATCGATTCCAAGCCAATCAGGTCGAGAACGACATCAGGCCTTACAAGTAATCGTTGTTTTTTGTTTTTTTTTTTTTTTTTTTTGGGGGGGGGGGTGCAAAATATTTCGACTGTGTTTAGACTGCAATAAATAATGGCATCCGTTCCAAATCAGCTGGGAGATATGCCGATGCTATATCCCGCGTCACAAAACGTTTGCCTTTTGTCAGTACTGTAGTTGTTTTGCTGTTTGTCCCGAGGAACATTACTGTGAATTCAAAACTCACAGCATCAACCTTGTTCACGGCACACCCACCTTTGCATAATGGCAAGCTCAACAATCTTTATTCCTTTGACAGTACAGTTGATACAACTAAGTACCGCTTGCAGCAACAGTAGTTTGATAGCCGTCAAAGTAGCAGCTAACTTAGCCATGTGGTTAACATTTTAGCCATCGAATGTTGAATATATACCAACCTGCCAAGGGAATTGTCCGCGTGTTACTTTTGGTCCTGTACAAGAATGTTACAACGTGCTGTACTTGGTAATTCTTCAATGTGAATTTTGTCAAAATTCTTGGAGTAAAACACGTCAAAGACGAACTAAAAACAAAACCCCCATCACTTCCTGAAAGTTTTCCCTCCCGCTCAAGTAGCATCCAATCAAAAAACGTCATGTGACGACCCAGCGCCAATAAAAAAGCTGCTTAGGCAGACAGCCATTGGATGCAGGGTTTAAAAAGCCCCAGCCCACACAGTCATTGCTGATTTTCTGGAGTTACGATGGACACATGTAGAGCAGTACTTCCGAAACTTTATTGAGCCAAAGCACATATTTTATATTACACCACCGAACTAAACATTGGTAAAGATTATATGTACTAATAACTGTGATAGCAGTCGCTCATCTGTCACAGATCGGAGGGTTCCAGTCATAGGGTTACAGGTCAAATTCTGCTATAAAATGTCAGCTCGTTGTTGGAGAGATGCTGTTATGCTCCTGACTACTGTTAATGTACCTTTGAGCAAAGCACTGACGGCCAGGCTATCGCGACAGGTATTAAATATCATGACCTGAGCTGGTTTTCGCTTCTTTTGGATCTTCTGTTTTTCTCTTGTTCTGGATCCAAGAAAACTAAATTAACCAAATAAACATTGTTTAACAAATGTATTAGGCCACTTGTTATAAAAATGATAACAGACCATTCAAATTCATTGATACAATACACATCTGTTCAAATTTTGTAAAATGAGAATGTTTTGCCATTGGGAACATGAATGAAGAATTTCTAACTGAATTCACATTTGTATCGCCAAATTCGAGATGGATTATCTTCATTATAGTCGTGGGTGTATTGGAGTTTGTTCATATCTGAGCTGACTTTGAAGGAGAGTTGGGGTCATACGCTGGCCTGTTTGCCAAATTATCACATAATCACATTGAACATTCAATGATTAAAAAATTTTCTGTTCAGTAATGGGAGAGAACTACTATAATTTGACATTTTAATCAAGAAAAATAATGTGCTATAAAATTGTATTATTCATATTTATGCAGGGTGTGTCCCGCCTACTGCCCTAAGACAGCTGGGATAGGCTCCTGCCCCCCCCCCCCAACTCCGCGACCCTCGTGAGGATAAAGCGGTTCGGAAAATGAATGAATGAATGAATAAAAATGATGGTCTTGACTTACTTTGACACAACACTGTGACCTTTTTAATACAGTTTTGTATGCACTGTTCCAACTTTTTTGCGTGGTTAATGCTGTACAGATGTATATTATATTAAAAAAGACACTGTAATAACACAACAAATCTAATGTTAGGTTTAAAATTTCACCTTGTAAATCAAATTTCTTCTTGCTTGTGAAATTTTGTGTTCGTGTGCTGCCCTCTCCCATCCTTTTGATCCGCTGGGGGCTGGACTCCCCGTCCATAAGAACTAGTGAAACCCCTGGTCTGCATACTTGATAGCACCCACTTAATGATGTAGATGACTAAGAAGAACAAGAAGAAGAAGAAGAAGGGGGGGGGACAAGAAGAAGAAGAAGAAGAACTCTGGTGTCATGTCATTGCACTCTGCTGAGTTAGAAATAAGAAAAATTTTTAAAAAGATGAAAATAGTCTGATTGTTGAAAATGCAACACGTCTATTCTGAATGTCCAGTACAAACCCAGACAGCGACCCCCCGCCCACTGTGAAACTCTGTGGCGATCGAAGCACAACAAAGCTAAATGCTAAAGCGAACGTGAGCCACTGTCTATCACGTTAATGATCAGCAAGTTTTTAACTTGTGACAAAAGCACATGCTCGTCACTTGCTGTTATCTGACGTGCAATAGCAGCCCAACTCAGCAACACTGGTGGCAGTCAATGTTCCTTCAAAGGTAAATGCATGTGCATCCAAAATAAGTCAGAACTTGCTCATTCCTCAAACAATTTTGATGGGGCCTACTTTTTTGGCAATGCCAAAGCATGTCCTATCAATACAGAAAATGCATTTGTGATTTTTTTTTCCAGACTTGGAATGTTGTAACACTTCACCCGTACGATCAACCTATTGTTCAAATCTTTCATAATGATGGCAAAGCCATTCGGTTTCTAGGATGCAATACATTTAATGAAGTTATAAGGACGCTAATCCAACTATCATACAGTCCTGCTCTGTTCTGTTTGTATTTCAGGTTCCGGGTCGGTCGGAGGGCGTTCCCTCCTGAGCTGCACCTGTCACACGTTACAATCATCTACCGTTATAAGATCTTCCTCGCCGGCAACCTGCTGTCAGATAATTCATCTTGCTCACGACTCATGTCCCAAATGTTCGATTATCTATATGTGGTTGACATCGTTTCAAATGCATAGAGCATTGGTACACTGAAGAACTGTTTGTACAATATTTTCATCTCATCCGTTCCTTTTTTTCCTCTCAATATAAGATCTGTTTTGAGTTGTGTTTGTATTATTGTAAAATTGTGTTTAAAGACATTTTTAAAAAAAAGTGCCATAAATGCCACCAAGACATGCGTAGGGTGTATTTAAATAGGGTGTTTCGATATCACTGCGGCGGTGGTATCGAACGTAACTCCTGTGATGGAAGGGGATTTATTGTATATGTGATCTGTGACTGATTGGTGGCCAGTTCAGGTTGAAACCCTTCCTCACCTCTCAGTCGAAGTCAGCTGGGATTGGGTCAAACTTAACCGCAAACATCCAAGTGTGATAGAAAATGAGGTGATTGATATATAAACATATTCCTTACAACCTCCTAAGAAAGCTAAAAGCCTAAAATGCTTCTTTGATTTCAAGTAGTGGTACTCTGAAAATAGTTCTTATACATTTCTAATGTAAGAATTGAACATGCATATCATTCATGCAGTCTTCATTCTGCCATAGGCTACAGCTCAAATGGTTAGCCAGTTCGCTGTTTTTTTGTTAATTCCTTGGAAGGGAAAACTTCTAAGAGTGCTTTCAGAACTTCGTATCATAACTTGTCTTTCAAAAACTCTTCCCTAGAGCTTTGTAAGATTTATCCAAAAGACGCATGACATCGTGAATTATATCATAATGGTGTTGGAAATTGAAGTTGACTGTGTCCGTGCATGAATATACTGGAAAACAATTAAGTAGCAGCAATCCGAAGTAGGAGAAGCAGTCTCTTGTAAATTGCTTACCTAACATACATACTAAAATCAATAACAGTTGTTTTACAGAATTTCAAGTATGCCAGTTGTAACGAAGGCTGATCTGTCTTTTGCTATACAACATGGTCATTGGTCAATACCACACCCGGCTGATAACTGTGGCTGCAGGAGCAAATGCAGTACTTGCGAAGACAAACACATTCTCGCCATCCCAATCAAGCGTGTTCCATTCTGATGAAAGAAGAAGGAAACACAGGCTTGTGTTGTCTCTGCCACTGTGCACCTGCTGTGAGTTTATTGATCTGCAGGAACCTTCAATACCTGCTTTCAAGATAAACCTTGGGCAGTGGAAAGGAAATCCTTGGTCCTCTTTTAAAGATGATACTTTGTTTTTGATTCAACTAATACACAATGAGCTTTCTGCGAAACAGTCGAACCAGATACACTGTCTTTGTAACTTTTTTGTTCGTAGCTAATTTTCACAATGTTTTGTGAGGATAAACGGAATAGAATATGGATGGATGTTTAAAATTTGTAATTCCTTAATATACAATACAACAACACATCCCATGTCTACACATTCAGCAACTTATTGAAACAAGACATTATGCTTTTTCTAAATACATTAAAATGTACGTAAACATAGACAAAGCTGAGGTTAGCATGTTGGCTTGGTCCTCGATGAGCATTCCGGTTTTTCATTGTGGCCCCTTTGTAAAAAGAATTACCCATCCGTGTGAGTGTGTGCAATCAGCTGCAGTGCGAAAAACAGGTACCGCTGTATTTAATAAACATTTACTTTCCCTTGGGTGTCTCTGCTACATGGGGACCCACACACGACAGTGAGCAAGGTGCTAACATAGCCCGTTAACTCGTTCATCGCACTCCTAGCTCGCGGGCCATGGAATGTAATAAACAGTTAATTTCCCCTTAAGATACGTTTGGGGACAGTGTTAAAACCAGAATGTCATGTTGCATTAACACCACTCAGTAATAAACTAGTCTTTGTTCTGTTTGTTTCCTTTTTGTACTTTGATCTGAGTCTGCTTCTTACAGCTTGCCGTTCATGACAGGATGTGAGTCCCCCCTGCTTTATAAAAAACGATTGAATTTGTGGTTTATATTTTATTCTTCTACTGATGTTCTGTGGCTCAAATTCTATGGTTATCGTCACACTTCATTACTTGCTGGTTGTATGAATTGTGATGGTATCGCACAACACAAATAACAAAAAAGCAAAGTTACATTTATGGGTTTCCTGAAGATGCACACTGAGCTGTGGTTATACGATATGCTGTAATTTTGTGTAACACCACACACAGTGGAGGTTCAGCACCCATTTGCTTGATGCATTTTTTTTCTGCTCTTGTGCTCCTCCCTACAATAAAATGCTTTGACATGACCAGACACTTTATATGACAAGCAAATTAATGTACATCCTAACACTACCCAAATGTGTCACGTCTGGAAGAAATATTGTCCAGTGATTTGTGCAGCAAACTCTGAACATGAACATTAGCACACACATTAATGTCAACACAACAGAAGAAGTGTCCAGGCTGCACTACAAATATTATAAAGCACTAAAGTAATTGATCTGCGGTCACTGTGGCAATGACAGTGATGCTCCTTCCTTATTACAAGCCAATGTACAACATGAATTTCAAGCTGTTTGTCTGTAGAGTGACATAGAAATTGTAGTGTGCCTTTCATTTTGTTAACGACAGGTTCATTACCTTGTTCTAATGATGATGTTTAACAACCTAAGGCAAGAAACAGCCATTCCATCCATTTTCTATATGGCTTACCCTGTTCAGGGGCGTTGGAGTCAATCCAATCTGGCATTGGGTGAAAGGCAGATTACCTCCAAGACTGGTCGTGGGTTAGTCGCAGAGATGGGCAACAATTCAGACTCACAGACTGCACAGAAGTCAAGTGAGTAAATCACTACACCATCAGTGACCATAAGTGGAAAGATACATTTTTGCCAAAATAGACTCCACACTCCTTACTATTGGCCATT